AGGGGGTGGTTGTGACCCAAGAGCAGGTTCTGGCCCTTGCCCTTGTTGACCCTCCTCCCACTGGCTTCACCCCACGGCTCCAGCCTGGCCAGATCAGCTCCACAAAGCCCTCAGAGGAGCTAGTCTGTAAGATGTGGGAGGACTTGAGGACTTTTCTGGGGCTCTTGCTGTGACCAGGCTGCAGGTGGAGCTGCAAGGTCTCTTACCACACGACTTACAGCACCGAGTAACAGTCTGGGGAAAAAGCAGCCTGGGAGGGAGATCTGAGGGAGCTGTTTGTGTTTCAGATCAAACCCCACGGGCCTGACTGCTCTTGCTGGTTGTCCCTGCCAGCTTCCCTGCAGCAGGGGAACGTTTTTGTGCCTTGCTGGCAGGGCTCAGGCTTTGGAGAGGAGCCTTGGATCCTCTCTGTGGTTCCTGGCTCCCAGCATTGCTGCATTTCTGCTGCGTTTGACACGGGGGTAAAGGATGAAACAAAGGGTTCCTGGGCCTGTTGAACAGTTTGCTTCAGTGGAGTACACAGATCTTGCAGCTCCAGGAAGGCAGGAGAGGTCCCCAGGTCTGGAGGACTGCTAGGCTGCAGAGTGCATCCACTGACCCCCAGAGAGGTGGGGTTGGGAGGGACCTCTGGGGATCATCCCATCCCACCCCCTGCTCCAGCAGCTCACCCCCAGCAGGATCCCATCCAGGAGGGTTTGGGATCTCTCCAGAGGAGGAGAGGTTCCTGTGCCAGCTGGCCTTGTTGTCTGGAGGGGTTCCATGCCTGCCATCCTGCTTTTCCCTGTGTTTCCCAGATGATGTGTCTGACTCAGAGGAGAGCATTTCGAGCAGCAGGTCCTGCAGGAACGAGCGGTCCCTGCAGGAGAAGCTGGAGATCCTGACCAACGAGGGGCTGCTGCTCACTGTCAAGGTGTTCCTGGACTGGCTGAGGACAAACACAGACCTCATCATCATGTGTGCTCAGGTGGGAGCCCTGCTGGGGCTGGGGCCAGGGCTGGGGTGCTGCCACCTCACTCCTGGGCAGAGGGGATGTTAAATACTCCACACTTAAGATCATCTTGACCTTAGACACGTGGTGAAGTTCACTCTTCATCAGACCTTCTGAGGTCTGTGAAGGGAAACCCCAGTGGCTGGTTCTTCCAGAGACCTGTTGTGATGTTTTCTGTGGCTCTTTGTGTCTCGTTGCTGCAGAGCTCTCAGAGCCTGTGGAACAGGCTGTCGGTGCTCCTGAACCTTCTGCCTTCTGCTGCAGACCTGCAGGAATCAGGTACTGGACATACTTCATGGGGCCTGTCAGAAAGCTGGGGGGGACTTTTCACAAGGGCTTGTAGTGATAGGAAGAGGGGTGATGGCTTCAAAGTGGAAGAGGGAAGAGTTAGATGAGAAATGAGGAAGTTCTTCACTCTGAGGCTGGGGAGACCCTGGCCCAGGTTGCCCAGGGAAGCTGTGGATGCTCCATCACTGGATGTATTCCAGTTGGATGAGCTTTGAGCAACCTGCTCTACTGGGAGGGGTGGAACAAGATGATCTTTAAGACCACCTCACCCTGCACACACAATTTAAAACCCCTGCCCTGGATCATCACTGTGTGCCACAGAGCAGCTCCCCTCCCTGTCCTTGTCCCCCGGGGGCTGCAGTCACCATGTCTCTGTGCTTCCCTCCCTGCTCCCAGGGCTGCCCCTCTGTAACGAGGTCAGGGAGGTGCTGAGTGGTGCTGAGCTCCCAGACCCAAAGGCCCACGTGCTGCTCCCAGAGGACGTGGCCCTGAGGAACCTCCCTGCTCTGAGGAACGCCCACAAGAGGTTCAACTTTGAGCAGGACAGGCCCATTTTCTCTGCAGTGGAGGAGGTGAGTCCAGGGAGGTCCTGAATCCTGGCAGGAGCTGCATTTCCCCTTCTGGAGGTGCAGGGGAGGATTGGGATCATTCTTGCCCAAAAAGACCCCAGAATGATCCAAACTTCTCAGTGTGAGATGGGTTCATGTTATCGGTGGTTGCTGCAGTCATCTGGCTGTCCCAGAATCACTCTTCAAAATCTCCTTCCTTTTATTTCCCTTTCTTTTTTTTTCCTCCCCCTTTCCCATTCCCCATCAGAGTCCTTCTCAAAGGAAGCAGAGCCACACTTTGATCCCCTGACCTCCCTGTCTGGGCTGCAGGGTTGTTCCCTCTGCCCTGCCTGGGGTGAAGGGAGCTGCAGGAGCTCCCCACATGAGCTCCCCTCCTCCTGCCCCAAAATCAGATCTAGGTGGTTGTTTCATTTACTTCTTTTTCCCAACACTGAGGCCTCAAGCAGAAATTTAGGGGGGGCAAGTGAGTTGATGTTTTCTGAGGCTTTCTTGAGTTGAGGAAGCCCAGACTGCAAGTACTTGTGAGATTTCTGACCAGCTCCAGCCCCTCCTGCAGCCTTTGCCTTCAGAAGCACATTTCCACCCGAAATTTTTCCTTTGGGTGTTTCTTCACAGCAGTTTCAGCCTTTTCCAAAGGCCTGAGCTGCAGGGGTGGGGGCAGCTCAGGCTGGAGGGGCCGTGGGTGGTGATTCCCTCTGTGCTCCCTTGCAGTCCATCGTCCGGATCTGCTGCATCCGCAGCTTCGGGCACTTCATCACCCACCTGCAAGGCAGCATCCTGCAGTTCAACTCAGAGCTGGGCATCTTCATCAGCATAGCCCAGGCAGAGCAGGACAGCCTGCTGCACCAGGCCCAGGCCCAGTTCCACATGGTGAGTCAGCTCAGCTGGGCTCCTCCTCTGGCCCTGGCAGCTTCCTGGGGATCACTCTCAGACTGTAATCAGGGCTCTTTGGTGGGCAATGACAGTTTTGCTCCTTCAAGCCTGTGGAGTGTCCCCTCTTCCCCCTGTCTGGGGCAGCCTGTGCTGCTGTCAGCTGGGGTGCTTCCTGCTAACTGAGGTGGAAGTTTGGTTTTGTCACCAGGCTGCAGAGGAGGCTCGTCGGAACAGGCTCATGAGGGACATGGCTCAGCTGCGACTGCAGGTAGGAGAGGCTGCTCACAGCCTGAGAGCTGCCCAGGGTGCCTGAGCCTGGGAAGGGGGAGTGCTCTGCCCCCATCCCACAGGCAGCAAGTCTGTCCTGGGAAGGCAGAATCATAGAACATCTTGAGCTGGAAGGGACCCATAAGGATCATAGAGTCCAGCTCCCCTTGGGGCCACCCAGAACCAAACCACGTGCCTGAGAGCAGCATTCAGATGCTCCTTGATCTTGTGACCACTTCCCTGGGGAGCCTGTTGAGTCACCAGCCACCCTCCCAGTGAAGAACCTTTTCTGTTGTCCTCTCTGAACTTCCCCTGTGCAGCTTCACTCTGTTTCCCCATGTCCTGTCACCAGAGAGAGATCAGCAGCTCCCCCTCCCCTGCCCCTGTGAGGAAGGTCTAGGCTGTGATGAGGTTCCCCCCTCACCCTTCCCTTCTCCAAGCCAAATGAGCCAAGTGGCCTCATCTGCTCCTCACCACCTCAGTGTCCCTCCTCTGGACACACTCTAGTGCTCAGTCCTTACACTGAGGTGCCCCAAACTGCACCCAGGACTGG